ATTTTCAAATCGCCGACCCGTTCCACGTCGGACCAACTCTGGCCCCACGCCTAAACGCCAACGACATTCCCTGCTGATGATACTTCTCCACCTTCTCGTTTTTCTCAGAAACGATCGACACGTCCTTCACTACCTTTCCACGCTCAGTTTCAGACTGAACAGTGGACTAAATTCTTCATTTTACGACCAACTTCCTCTACTGCCTATCTTTCTGACCATAGTATTGGCAAGGCACTCCTACGCCATGTTGGTAAAGATATTTCTTTTCATGCTCTTAAGAGCGGTACGCGCATCATTGCCATACAGAATGCTACCCAGGCTCATGAGCTCTCTCGTCTTTCCCATATCGATACTGTTCCTGTCACTCTTGAAAAACATCATTCCCTCAATTCTTGTAGTGGTACCGTCATTCTGCCCCATACCATAGTTCAACAAAATTTCCAGACATGTGGCACTGACATTCTAGAACAACTGGAACTCCAAGATCTCCCAATCCTTAAGGTAGATACTTACGTTCTTCCTGCCCGTGGGCGGAGACGATACCCTAGCAATGTGGCCCGTTTAACTTTTGACAGCCGAGAATTTCCCACCCTCAGTTTATATAGCAGGACATCGGTTACAAGTTCGAAAGGTGATCCCTACACCACAACAGTGTAGAAATTGCTGGCGATTTGGCCATCCAGCGAAATATTGCAGATCTATCGCCGAATGCCCAGTCTGTGGTGCCGATGACCATTCTAATACGTCTTGCAATCGATCTCCCTCTTGCCTTAACTGTCATGAGGCTCACCCTTCGTACTCTCGCCGTTGTCAGGTCTATTTAAACGAGCGGGAAATCCGTTACCTCAAAGAGACAGAAGGTCTCCCTTATGCCATGGCATTTTTCTCATCTCCGCCCCCAAAGGGGAGACTCCCACGTGTTTCTTATTCCCGTGTTTCAAAACGTCCCCCCACTTCTAGTATCCCATCTTCTACACCCACCTCTGTGGTTACCTCCTCCCATAATCACTCCTGTATCTAATCCTTTTGCTGCCCCTCGGCTCAGACGTCCCTACTTCAAGCCTCACCCTAATCTCGCTTCTTCGAGTTCTCTCTCACAACCTCAGTATCGATGAGACCTCATACACACCTCCTCCCAATCGTCCCTCTACTTCTAAAAAGTCAAAAAAAGGTCCGGTAACACCTCCTACCCATCTTCCACCTAAATCATTTTACCCTCCCTGTCTCTTGCCCCTAGTTCTTCCCCCTCTCACTGGCTCAGTTACAAGTGCAGAGGTTCACCCTCCTCCTCGTAATGTACCTTCCCCCCCTGTTCCCTCCAAGTTTCTTCCTCTTCTCCCACTCCCAGGTTCCTGCCTCTTCTGTCCCTGCCACGCTTCTCCAGTTCCCTCCACCCTTTCGCCTCCCCCTACCTTGGTACGTCCAATACAGTTCCAATCTTTACTCATCCTCCCCCTACCATTCCCAATATTGTCCCCCATACGACATCTCTGAATTCCGAAACACTTGAAGCAATCTCTGAATATATTGCAGAGACCAAACCATCAATGGACACGCTGATCCACCTTCCGCTCTTTCTCCCCTCCTTGCCTCCATCTGCGCAACTCATTTCTTCACAGCGCACACGTTCCTTCGCGCTTGAACATTTCCACTTCCTCCGCTGTGGACTTTTCTAACCCTTCTAGTCCGTAGGAACCCTTACCTGCGGATTTCAAGTATCTTTATCATTGCCAATCATGGCCTATTTACAGTGGCATTTTACGCGGGCCTCAGGGGTAATCGGGGTGAGCTTCAGATGTTACTCTCCCAGTTTGCCCCTGTTGGTGTTTGCTTACGGGAAAACCAAAAATTACACTCTGCTGTTATTTCTTCCATCTCAGGCTATAATTTTGTATTCTTCAGATCCTTTTCCTGATGGGACCTTTAATGAAAGTGCCCTTCTTCTCCGCACGATATTCCGTACCATCAGCTATTTGTTCATACTTCGCTGCATTACACAGCAGCCCGTATCCACTTACATAGGTGGTATATGCTCTGTTTTCCCATATCTCTCTCCTTCTCGGGCATTATCTATTCTGGATTTTGCCTTCCTTGTTTCGTCATTACCGCCACCGATTCTGTTACTTGGTGATTTTAATGCCCACCATTTCCTCTGGGGGGGTCTCACTGTGATTCCCGTGGAATTCAGTTAGAGGCTTTTCTTGCCACCCACCCCCTCCATGTTTTAAATACAGGTACTCACACCCCATTTTGATCCTCGACTCATACTCTCTCTTGCATCGATCTCTCAGTTTGCTTTTCCCTCCTCCGCATTAGACTTCATTGGTCTTTTCCTCCCGGACTTACTGACAGTGATCATTTCCCAATCATTGTTACTTCCCCTTCATTTTCGCCACCTCTTCGCACCCCACGCTGGCAATTTAATGGGGCAAATTGGAACCTTTACTACATCTAACTGTTTTAAAGAGGTTCCTTCTTCGTCCTCCATCGATGAGCTTTTACACCTCTTCTCGTCCTCCGTTTTCACCGCAGCTTCTCATTCTATACCCCAAACTTCGGGCAGGCATTCTCAGAAATCCCATGCCTTGGTGTCTCCTGTTTGTGCTCGTGCAGTACGTTTGAAACGCGCTGCATGGGGCAGGTACCGGTACAAAAAACCCACAGAGCGACTCCTTGATTTTAAACAGAAGCGTGCAATCGCTCACCGTGTCATCCGTGACGCTAAACGCACTTGCTGGCGAGATTATGTCTCCACCATCACCTCTGCTTCCTCTATGAGTGCAGTCTGGAAAAAAGTACGAAAACTGAGGGGTAAATATTCTCCTGACCCGGCTCCTGTTCTGCGGGTTGCCGGGTGTTGATATAGCAACCCCACTAGATGTTGCCAATGAAATTGGCAATCATCTGGTCCGATTTCTCAGGGACTCCATCTATGCCCCTCATTTCTTTCCTCAAAGTCTGCCAGAGAGTTAGCACCCTTGGCTTTTCCTCTCTCAGAGAAGAACAGTATAATGTGCCTTTTACACTTCAAGAATGGAGGCAAAAACTCTCAGCTTGTCGATCATCGGCAGCTGGGCACGACGGGATTCATATTCGTATGCTACAACATTTACATCATCAGCCCTTGCAGTCCTATTACGCCTTTACAATCTTATTTGGTCACAAGGAGTTCTTCCACAGCTGTGGAAATCCGCCATTGTTCTCCCTTTCCCCCAAACCAGGCACTAAAGGGACATGAAACCTCCCACTATCGTCCTATTGCTCTTACCAGTGCAGTTTGCAAAGTAATGGAATGCCTAGTAAAAAGACGTTTAGTGTGGTATTTAGAGACACACAACAGTCTCTCCACTCGTCAATATGGCTTTCGTAAGGGGCGTTCTACCATAGACCCCTAAATACGCTTGGATACGTATGTTCGAAAGCCTTTGCGAATAACCACTCAGTTATTACTATATTTTTTGACCTTGAGAAGGCATATGACACAACTTGGAGGTATAATATTTTAGCCCAAGCCCATTCCTTAGGCCTTCGAGCAATCTACCATCCTTCCTTAAGAACTTTTTAACTGACAGGCATTTCCGTGGTTCGGGTTAATAATGTGCTCTCCCCGGACTTTATCCAAGCTGAAGGTGTCCCCCAGGGATGTGTTCTGAGCACAACCACTTTTTCCTCCTTGCTATTAATGATTTGGCCTCTAGTCTTCCATCAAATATTTGGTCATCACTCTATGTTGATGACTTCGCTATTGCCTGTGCAGGCGCTGACTGTCACCTCCTTACAGTTTCTCTCCAACATGCAGTCGACCGTGTTTCCAATTGGGCCACCAAAGTGGGTTAAATTTTCCACAGCACTAAAACCCACCAAATCACTTTCACTAGATGCTCTGTCATCTCCGATCATCCTATGTACCTCTATGGCTCCCGTATCCTGAACATGATACAGTCAAGTTTCGGGCCTCCCCCTTTGATCGTAGGTTATCCTGGAAACCTCACATTACCTCTCTGAAGGCAACTTGTCACAGCCGGCTGAACCTTCTTTAAAACCTTGCTCATCTTTCGTGGGGTGCTGATCGCGAACCCTCCTTCGCCTACATTCCACCCTTATTTTTTTCGAAACTTATTATGGTGACCAGATCTATTCAGGCATCTCTTGCTACTCTCTCTAGCCTTAACCCCATTCATCACCAAGGATTACGTTTATGCCTTGGGGGCTTTCCGCTCTTCCCCTGTCGAGAGCCTGTATGCAGAAGCGAACATTCCATCCTTATCCGATCGCCGTGATGCCCATTGCCTGCGCTACTATGTACGCTCTCATGATCTCTGCAATCCTTCCATTTATAGAATGGTCACTGATATTAGTAGACATTCTTTATTTGTTCGCCCGCCCCTGTTTACTCTGTCCCTTCTCTCTTCGCCTTCATTCGCCTCTTGTCTTCTCTTCAACTACCACCTTTCTATGTACATGTAGCATCTCACTTTTCCCTACCCCCCTGGGAAGTTCCAGCTGTTCGAGTCTGTTCTTTCTCCCTCCCTTGCTCGAAAGCCCAACTGTCTACGGTCGCTTCCCGCTCTCTTTTTCTTGACCACTTTCACTCTCATTCTCATGCCATTGCTGTGTACACAGATGGCTCTAAGTCTTCTGACGGCGTAGGATTCGCAGCAGTGTTTCCGGAAGCGTCGTACAAGGGCATTTACTATCTTCAGTTTTATTTTACTGTGAATTATATGCCATCCTTACAGCACTTATCCGTATTGCATCTATGCCCTGTGTCATCATTTTTGGTTGTCTCAGACTCCCCTTTGTACTTTACAGGCTATACAAAAATTTGATACACTCACCCCTTAGTCCTCCGTATCCAACTTTGGCTACGCCGCATCTTTACCAAGCATAAAAAATATTGTTTTTTGTTGGGTCCCCGGTCATGTTGAGTACAGGGGGAAAGAACAGGGAGACACTGCTGGCGCGGGCAGCAGAACATGACCTACCAGTTTCTTATAGAGGTATTTCATTTACGGACTATTTTGCTGCAATATCTTCCCACATTCACACCCGTTGGCAACAACGTTGGTCTACTATGCTCGGCAACAAACTTCACTCTATTAAACCGTGTATAGGTTACTGGCCGTCTTCTTATCACCAGTGTCGAGGTTGGGAGACTACTCTCTCCCATCTTCGCATTGGCCATACTCGTCTTACTCATGGATATCTCATGGAGAGGCGTCTTGCTCCTCTCTGTGAGAATTGCCAAGCTCCATTATCAGTCAGCCACATTGTGTTGGACTGCCCACTTTATCAACGAGCACGCAGAATTTACCTCTGTCGTCGTCTTCACTCCGCTGCTCTCTCTTTACCTTCCCTTCTCGCTGATGGACCCACCTTTCATCTGGACTCTCTCATTGACTTTTTGACAACGACTGACTTACTTCACAAATTCTGATACCTTCAGCCCTTTCTACTTCAATCTCTTGCTACCCTCTACCCCCGTACTATCCCCTGCCCCGCTGTTTTCTATAACCTGCTGATCATCCCCCCTCCCTTCTGCCATCCAATTCCCTTGCTTCCTTCCCTACCCTGCAGCACTGTATAGCCCTTGTGGCTTAGCGCTTCTTTTTGATTATAATAATAATAATGAAGAATCATATTAATTCAACTTAAATTGATGTACATATCCTGATCTCATCAGTAACTTAAGTAATAAGTATTAACAAACAATGGTGGTACACGAACACCAAAATCACAAAACATTAAATTATAAACTATTAACGAAGTTTCGTTTTTTTCTCTCTCTCTTCCTTCCTTTTTTTTTTTTATCAAAATCCATACATCAGATATAAAAAAAATGAGAAAGCGTTACCAAGTCTGTCGTCCAGACAACAATGATAGTACATGCACACATCAGTATTCTGTGTGAAAACAAAAACCTCTATCCCACAATCCTGGGATACAGAGCAAATAAGACATTATAATATCAGCAAAACATAAAGGAGCTACCTAGCAAAACAAACCTATACCATGGTTACAAAAAATTTCCATGTTATGTAAAAAATAGCCTCTGTCTGCATAATACATCCACTTGAATAATTGTACTGCTTACAAGAATGCATGGCATATAGACAATAGAATTACAATGGCACAGCCTCTATTGATGACTTTAGTAGTGCAGCATGACTCAGCATTGAGAAAACCATACCATGGTTCTGAGTACCACTCCCCCCCTTTCTAAGACTATGACACTCATTCATGCCACATGCCAGCAAGACACTTAAGCCCCAGACCACACACAGGTCCCCCTCCCTCACCACTACATTACACCCCGACCACCATATACACCAAATAAAACGTACAGTCAGACACCAAAAAAAAAAAACCACCTAACTCTTCCCTCCCTCCCCCTCCAGGGAGGCCAACCCCTTGGCTCCACCAAGGGATTATACCTACCTACACCTCAGTACTCCTGTAACGTTTCCAACATTAGATTCCTATACCCCAACGAAAAAGCTCCCTCCCAGCATTGCCCATACACCTCTTTATTCCTACATTTCGTCCTATAAACATGGCACATCAGTGCCCTGATGCACATCGCACCCCTCTGCCCCCGCATACTCCACGAGACATATAAATAGTCAAATACCAAATATGACACAGAACGTCGTACTGCATCTGAGCAATCTCCCATCTGAAGACTCAAAACTCTAAGCATGGACAACCCCCCCCCCCTCCCACTCGTCTGAGAACACCCTTGAACCAATTCCTAACCCTATGTAAACTGTCACAAAAATATACGACATGAAACACCGTTTCTGGCCACCCACACCACGCACAGGCCTGATCCTCGGTAATTCCCATAATGTACAATTGTGCCTTGGACGCCAAAATCCCGTGGAGGAAGCAGTAACCAGTTTCCCTAACCTGTGGTTGTAAGCGCAATTTCTTGAACCCCTGCCATATAGTCTTCCAATGATATCCTGATAAAACCTCATCACCGATGACCTCTCTCATTGTTATACCTATATTGTCTAATTTACCTGCCCTAACTCTCACAGGGTGTTGCACCACCAATAAGTGCCGTAACAGCGCTTCGCACCTTATGAGGTCTTTCCCCACCCACCATCGTCGAACCTCCCTCATCACCGCATCAACCCTCGCTCCCCTGACCCCCCCCCTTGTCAAGAATTCCTGTTGTACGTATATGCTCATTAGGCGATTGTGTAGTGGTATTAGCCCTAAACCTCCCTTAGCAACGTGCGTCATAACTATATCCTTCCCTAACCAATGCCTACGGTAACCCCATATGAAATCCAAAGGCTTCTTGTGTAACCACAACACATCGTCTGTGATCAAAGGATAGACCGCTGCCACAAACCATAATTTACTATACACCAGTACATTGAAAAACGATTACTCTGTGAAAATTTACACACTCGGTCCCCCATCCCGCCACCCTACCTGGGGCTGCTCTACAATAGATAAATTAAATGCAGTCCCCCTTTTTCGTCTTTTGCAAAATTTACACACTGCAGATTTTTTTGCTCAAGGGTTTTCCCACCCTACCCCGTCCAACGCCCCCCACCCAAACCCCACCCCCAAAATTTTGGGTTTTTTCTCTATTAATGCCAATAAAAAGCACCAAAAAAAACCTTATAACCTTTTAAACGAACGCCAAACCCCTTCCTACTCTGCACCAAGATGGTGGTATTTTCCCCACAAAACCTAAAATCCCTACTGCTTCGCCCTGCACAAATCCTCCCCCCCTACCCTCCCCAAATACCAATTTTAAAAAAGGGGTTCCTGAAAACAGGCAAACCAAAGCTTTCGAGAGGGGGCACCCCTGCCGCAGCCCCCCACCCCATGCCTATCGCGGACCCCAACCTCCCATTGACCCCGGACTGTACCCGTCCTCCATAATAAGTACGCACCCATTAATATTCTTCCCCGAAAAACCTGTTTCAAAAAATATGCTAATAATGTTTCCCTATCCACATGTCAAAAAACCTTTTTTCCAAACTAATCCACATCTGCCTCCACCACAATCTTCACAAAACTTTTTAGGCGTCGATGACCATCCTCATAGATTGCCCCGGAATCCCCAAATTTCCCTTTTCCTTTACCTTGTCCAAAACTCGTTTTTCATCCGGTTTTTCCAAAATAAAGCGCAAAACTCTTTTAATCCCCCCACCCAAAATATGGGCCCATATGCCTCCCAAAAATTCGCGGACTTCGCCCTTTGGGGACCCCCACTAAAACACCCCAACCCCGCCCCACCCCCAAATTTTAACCCCCAAAATTTTCATTGAATGTAAAGTTGGGCCAACATGTCTTCAACATTCCCAAAGAACTACAAAAAAAACCCTGGGACCCATCCCACCCCAAATGATTTTCCACAGGCCTTCCCTGAACAGCCTTTTAAACCTCCTCCTCTAATATGTAACCCTCCATGTCCCTCGATCCCCTCTCTCAAAAATTTGGGCCCCTTGCACGCATAAAGCTTTCCCCCCCTCTCGATTCCCCCTTTTACTTCCATTTTTCTCAAACCATTGGTCTCATAGATCTCATGCTCTCAAAAGTAACTACCTTTGCCCCTTTATGAAACCACCCCCAAAATCAAACCCACCCCCACTGACAAAAAACCGTCGTCGCCTACATCTCGTTCTGAAACTACGCAGAACCCCGACAGAGGGGTTATCCCCACAAGCATCTCCCCAACCCCGCTCGCCCCTAAAAAACCTTAAAATTACCGAATGTCTTTAACTTGATCCAGATGAAGGGTTTCGGATCTCACCATATGGAAAATAGACAATTAATACGTAACTATCTTTACCCAGTGAGACTGACTGTCCATTTCGGGCCCTTGGGGAACTGTGTGCACAGCGCCAGGCCCGAGGAATCTTTAGATGCTTCACTCTTCTTTAAAAACAGCCTAAAATTCCCCTTCGTTGGGCCGGAAAAAAATTTTCCAACTACCTTGCTGAGATGATAAACGTGCTCTTGGGGTGCCAAATTAGGGGCATTTGGAGTTTTAAGACTTTTAAAAAACCCGGGTTGCTCCAAACACCACCCCCAAAGGCGAGGGACTGTTACTTCATCTTTTGTATATAGTTCTTCCTTTTCTAATTTTTCCAAGAATCTTTTTGATAAAGCCAAGGGAGGCAAACGTCTAAAAAAAAAGTAACCAATGTTGCCAATGTCTTAACTTTCTTTAAACATTTAAAGGGGCCACCAACTTCCTTTTATGTTATAACTCCACCCCCAAAACTCCCACAATGGGATGTTTGTGGCCCTAAACCCACGTGCGTGATTTAAAGCCCCGGGGGGAACCTTTCCCTATCGAAGGTTACACAGCCATTTTGAAAATCCGTACCTCCTCTTTTATGCTAAAACCAAAACTCCGATCAAAATCATCGAGCCCCGTCTCCAAAGTTGCATCAAGATTATCATTTCAGTATGTCGTGTATATACAGAAACCCTACGAAAACCCGTTTAATTGTAGTTACCGTGGCCTTATCGGGGTAAATTGTCCTGAAAGCCCCCCCTAAAGGTATTGAAATTTAAAATGATCCCAGTCCGATTGCCTTATTTATTTTATTTTTTTATTTTTTTATTTAATGATTTGAAAATTATCATTGAGATTTCGTATTTACAAAAAGGGGTTTTAAATGCAAAGAGAGCCTCTATTATGCCTGGGCATTATGGCTAACTTAACATTATTGGCTTACAGACAAATTTAAACACTAAGATTGTATCATATTGCACAGTAGGATAGTAATTATTTCATGGGTGTACAGTAGATTATTAATTAAAAGTAAATTTAATTTCAAAAAAGCTTTTTGTGAAAAACAATGATTCATTTATTTTCCTTCAACAATGGATAAAAGTTAAAGGAATTGTTGAAATTATGATGTGGAGTACATCGTGAGTATATGGTACTAAATTTAGCCATTTATCTAGGGTGATTAAGGGTTTTTGAGAAGAGTCTTAAAAATTTGTTTTTCAGACGGGGTTTAGGGGAAGAGTTTGGGGGGTCAATGCTCCGCGGCCCGGTCGTGCCCGGGGGGCCTCCGGGGGATCAGCGCCTATAACCAGGCTTTTGCGCGGGTGCAAAAAACCCAACGTACGACCACAGCCCGGCTGATCAGAACGACTTTGGGTGCTTGCCCCATGCCGCTTGAAAGACTGCCGGGGGTCGTTGGAAATTTCCCCTATGTGTGCGGGGGGCAGTTGAAAAGTCTCGGGCCCCTGACACTTATTGTTGGTCTTTAACGTGCTAGTGACCCCCCTGCTTTTCATTGGGGGAGGGTGCTCGCCTGCCAATTTTTTGCTTTTTTAGTGAGTGTTTTTCGTGTGCAATTCGGTACTAGCCCTCTAGGATTTTCCAGGTGTATATAATTGTATCCTCCCTCCGCGTTCCGGGGGAATACGGGTTTTAAAAACCCTCAAGCGCTCCCAGTAATTGGGTGTTTTATCCCCCGTTATGCTGCCGTGAAAGTTCTCTGTACATTTTCTGGTCGGCAATTCCCCCCGCCTTGAAAGGTGCGTTAGAGTGCAGCAATTTTCCCAGTAGA